CGCTTGTCTATCGCCCTCGCGCGTGCGACTAGCTTCTGTCTGCGTGGGGGAGGGAGGGGAGGGTTTGCGGGATTGGGGTGTGCTGATGGGGCGGGGATTGATTCCTCCTCCCCTTGAGCCTGTTTGACTCTGCGTGCTGATGGGACTGTATTTGTATGAGTATCACGGACACACAGACGAGTGTTACGGTTAATGACAGTTTCCCCTCTATGACGGACTCGGTGGGTGGTCGGACAGAGGGTTACATTTGGCATGCTTGCAGTGATTGAATGAAAGGGACAGCTAGCTAGTTTTTAGTTTGCATTCTTGATGGACTCCTCATGCCGATGCGCTTTCCGTTAATCCCGTGCACACACTTTTCTATTAGGGTTTGTCAATTAGTTGGCGCCCTTGGGTTAAATTCCGATCTAAAAAAATTAAACCCTAAAACAGCCTAGGACATTCCGTGAAACTGCTCGCTGGGAGCCGCTGCTGCCAGGAATATCTAGAGGGGATCCTCTCAGGATATTACTTGGTGAAGCCTTCAAATCAGACAACGTAAAGCAATGGACAAGCACACGGGAACAAAGTAGATTCTGATGAAACGAGAAACGATTCGGGCCTAAAAAAAAAAAACTTTCTGATCTTCCTCCTCTGGCGATCGTTTCTGGACGTGAATGATGTGAGAATGTAAGGGATTTTACTTCGGGACTCGAAGAGGATGGAACAGACGCCCTGCGCGCCGAGCATCTGCGAGGCGCCAGGGCGATCAGGGCTTTTTTGGATGGCTGTCTCGAACAGCCAGTACACACGCACCTTTGAAATTCATCCATCAAGCAAAAGTGCTTTTCGCGATCTTTTTTGGTCGGTCTCTCGAGCGAGGTGCCTCGTTGTCAGCCGTCGATGTGCCCCCACCTGACGAGGTGCCCCCACCAGGCGCGCCCGCACCAGACGACGAGCCCCCACCAGACGAAGACGACTGCTGCTTCTTCTGCACCCACTTCTCTCCTGGGCCAGCCTTTCTCGGGCCAGCACCGCCACCATTGCCGCCCCCACCGCTCTTCTGGTTGCTCTGGCTGTTCTGGCCCCCACCGGACTTCTTGTTGCCGGCGGTGTAGGCAGTGCCCGTGTCGATGCCAGGGATGACGTCCGCGTACTCTTGGAAGGTGAGGGACGGCAGGGTGGGCTGGTTGGCGGCTTTGAGCGACTGGTTCATCGCCTTCCTGGACAGCTCGAGCTGCTGGACGTGCGGCGCCAAGGACTCGGGGATGGTGGCCTTGAGCTTCTGGATCCGGTCCTCCTCGAGCGGCAGCGGCTCGCCCACCTGCACCATCTCCCTCTCCACGGCGAGGATCTGCACCACCGCCTTGTCGGCCGTCTCCACCCTGCCCAGGTCGAACCAGCGCCTCCACAGCCTGTGGCCCTTGTCCTCCGCCCGACGCTCTTGGAGAGACACGAGTGCCTTGTAGCCCTCGAGCCCGGTGGTTCTAAGAGGTAAATGGCGAAGGGGAGGCCCATTTTTCTTCCTTCGAATCCCTAACCGATACGGCGCGCGTGTGTGTGAATACCCTCGTTGCATGCACCCCCCTTTTTGCCTCCCCCTGACCATCACCATTGCTTAGACAGAGCCTCACAGGGACGAGACATGTCCAGCTGCGCTGTACCTGTCTCCGCCTGCGATTGCAGAATGTGCAACTCTCAGCACCGAGGCATCAGGGAAATTCCCCCCATGCACGAACAATCATTGACTCCCATCGTAATGCAGGAGTCCCTCGAGTCTCCCAAGGTATCGATCGGTTCATTGCGACGGTAGTGGTGTCGAGTCAGCCCACAGCAACCGGAGTGGAGATCAGAGAGAGAGAAGGCGCGCCCATGCGTCGGTTCCTGCCCCAGCGGGTGGTTCACGTCGAACAGCGGAGGGCCCGTTCATCTTATCTTCTCATCATCCTCGCTGCTGCATCTTCGCCAAGGACTGTGAGTACCTGCATTTAAGATCGACTGAGAGATGAAACAATGGAGACACACAGAGTCTTGGTTGAAGGTTCGGTATGTCTGGGGCACACGTGGGTCTGCACGTCACACATGTATGCCCAGCTTGGACGGCTCCATCCGTCTCTGCCTTCTGATGGCTTCATGACCTCTTTATTCGTTAATGGTGAGGCTTTACCATGCTTTTTCATTCTCTCGGTGATGTAAGCATTCAAAATCCATCACCGTCCGTGGCGTAGGTGGTGCACTCTTCAAGTGCCCCACCGCCTACCCCGATTGTTCCAAAAACGACTTCTTCATCCATGCACTGATGCACTTGTCACGTGTATGTAAGCCAAGCCCGCCCCCCGTTGCCGTCCGTCCTTATAAATCCAGCTACCGACCGCTCTCACGCTCTCTTATGCTCTCTCATTGCCGACATACACTCCAGCCCTTCTCTCGTCGCTCAGCTCTCAGCCGAGCGCACATAGAGCAGTATGTCACCGCCTCGCCACGGCGACGAAGGTAGCGATGAATCCATCCGTGCAGTGCCTCCGGTATGTGTATATGCATCACATCATCAACGTACTCGACATACACCCCCTCCAGTAGTGATATCCTCCGTGATTGAGCCGATGGCTCGATGGCAGCATCCCTGGCAGACTTCGGCAGCGACGGCAGACACATGGGCGACTCCCGTCAGATGGGCAAGCCCATCTGACGGGTGGAGGGAAGGAGAGCCGTCCCGGGGGTGTCTAGTCGCTCATCATGGCGCCCTCGCCTGTGGCTTCGGCCTCCTCTGGGCCGGCAGGGATGTCGTCAGAGGTGAAGTAGAGAGGGGTGATGTCTCCGGAGGGAGAGGCTCTTGCGGTCTTGACGGCGATGCGTTGAAGTACCTCGGGGGCAGGGCAGAAGGCTTGGATGCTTGTTCGTTGAAGTCAGGAAGAGAATCGAGAGCGATGATTTTGTTGATACCAGATGAAGCAGAATGGGCAGAAATGACGACCTGATCATACCCATGGGAATGATCATCATACCCCATGGGAATGATCATCATAGCCATGGGAATGATAGCCTGGCCGGCCAGTCATTTCCCCGGCCAGGGACACAACACTTGACTTGAGCGTCATCTTCACCCACGCACGCCACTGTTCTTTTCATTTGAGAAATGAGTCATGACAGCCGCTTTTGCCCCTTTGAATCAGTAAAAACGGAGGCTACATGCCTTCCACACGGCGGTGCGTTCTTGTCCACTTCTGCCTGGTGGCCAATCTTGTTGACGACTTGCACCCAGATGAGCGAGCGGGTCGAGCAGCTGGTGGAGGTTTGAGTAGAGCAGCTGCCGAGTGCCTGCATCCATCCGACACAAGAGAGTGATGTGCGGAAAGATAGTGGTGCGTATGAGATGCACGATACGTACCTGTACAGACAGACAGGTGTTGTAGGCGTGGTACTCCGTCGGTCATGGTCATGCCCAAGGCTGCGAGCTCCATAGCGCCGTAAAACGGATGCATGCTCTCCAGCCCCAGTGCAACGAACCATGGCCAACATCGTATCAATCGCCATCAAAACCAAGCGTGGATACAATGGGCCAAAAGCAAGAGGCCAATAACAATACACAGCGTCATGTAGGCGCGACAAAACGAAAAAGGGTGCAGACAGTAGACAGGTGTACGACAAATACTTCATTAGACGGCAAGAAACGGATTGGACTCAACACAGGGACAGACACACACACACACACACCAGAGAGAGAGAGATTCATCGCATCAAAAATACAAACCTATCATCGCTATCTAGATTCAATGAGCCGATACTGCTTCTGGAAGACTTTGTTTCAGAGCATCTAGCGTGCGATTTCCATACCTGACGCCGTGCGTAACACTACTGCCTCATCAACGCTGAAGAACTCACAAATATCTATCTGACTATTTGGATCCCACACCAACTTGAAGTCCCGCACAATGTCGTCCGAAAACAGCGGCGTCCGAAAACAATGCCATCCTCAGTATCAGAAGAAGATCCTCCCGCCGCGGAAGGGTAGGGTTCCGTGATGGCCGTGACATAGATAGACATCACGTTGCATATAGGCAGCTGTTGTCTGTCAGTAGTAAGTCGCATGTGTATGCTGGGCGGACAAGTGCGGATTTCAAAGCTGATTGTCATCCCTCTATTTGCCTATGGCTAGCTTCAGCGAATCTACCGGCTTTCAGAGACACTGAGGCGTTCGAATTCAACAGGACTAATACGGGCCACCCAGCCAGCAAAATCAGTCAGGATGCCCTTTCCTTTCCATCCTCTCATTTGCGAATTCTTCACGAGGAAAGCGGTATACCCTGCACCAACGACACGTCTCCACACAGAGATGAACTCATCCTTGGACATAAGGGTGTCATAAAGAGGAAGGTTGTCCACTCGCAGATCGTATGGCGGCACGATTGGTCCCTTGTTGTTCTCAAATC